TTCTGCTTGTGAAAGAAACAACTATTTGCTCTCTTTCTGAACATCTGACAACATCTAGAGTTGTACCCTAAATAGCTAGCAAGTCTTGAATTTTTGAACTCGGTAAACTGCTAGCAGGCAAAAGCCAGTCTTCATGCAGAAAAATTCCTTCCTGGGTCTGCATATGCTAGCATTTGTGCATCCCATAACATGAGCTCCTTCTTGCTCGCTGTCCCTTTCTGAGCAGCTGGATATAAAGAATCAGTTTCTGGTAGCCCTTGAGATAAAATAGCTGATCTCTAAGCAAGTCCTTTCCTAAAAGCCCTTTTCCCTCTCCCTCTTGACCAAGCAGCTTTTCCTGGAATTCCTGTATCACCACTGCAGTAGCAGGGACAGTCATCAACTCACCTTGAGAAGCCCCAGCCATCCACTACCTGAGCCAGCCAAAATCCTCACTAGTCCCCGTATGGGGGCATGCGGACATCTGCAAGGTCTTCCTTGAACAAGCACCACACACAGGGTTGAACTGATAAGCTGCTGGGCAAGCAGTTTCTTACACTAGCCAATTTGTCTTGTTGCAAGCCTTGTTCTCAAGATATTGAGAAATAAAAGCTTCAGGAAATAACACAGATTTTTAAGTGGTACGACAAAAAACATTCCTTCATCTGTATTCTCACTGATCCCCATTCCTTTCATTACTTGTTTGTGTTTCTCATATTGAGATTGCCTTTTGGTACATGTTTTATTCTATAGGTTTTATTATTTCACTGGATGACTCTTCCCAAGAATGTAAGTTGCGATATATTCAGAATTTCAAGTGGACAGACACTTTACAAGGACAAGTTCCAAGGTATGTGTGCTTTCACCATTACAGGGTACGCAGCTATTTTCTTTTGATCTGCTACATGCGTGCCCCTGTGCTAGCTGGTGTGTGAGGGAAAACTTAAGTGTAGCAACATTTTGGACACAAAGTAGTTTCCAAAAACTTGTTACTTTGTGTTTTTAATAATTGCTATACTCTTCTGTGCTGCGTATTCTGAAGCATGTGTTGCCTGTATTTGTGATAATTTGTGATATCAGTTACATGAGAGATCAACTAAAACACAAATTGTATGTACAGTTGCCTAGAGGAGTACAAAAAGAGAACTTTGAGAGTATTTCTGAATTAAATGTGATAGCATAGATCCTGCTGTTTAAAACTGACTCTTCCATTTGGCCCTATTGCCTGATCTTCTGACTTTTTTGAAGTCCACATGTTGCTCAGGGTCTGGGGTTTTTTTTGTTTGTTTGTTTTGGGGTTTTTGAGGGTTTTTTTTGTTTTTTGGGATTTCTTTGGTTTTTCGTTTTGTTTTTTGGGTTTTTTTGGCTCCTGTTCTCTGAAATGCCTAGTACATGTAGAAGCTACAAACAAACAAAGTTTTTGTTTTAAATAGGAGTACAGACCTGGAAAGAGCCTCCTGGATTACTCAGTGGTCTGTTGCTGTTGTTGGTGATCGCATTGTATAACGTGTATTACACTTACAGATTTGTCGAGGGTTGTCTAGAAGTGGTGTTCAGCTCCCTCACAGCTTTTGTTCCCCTTGGAGGACAATCTATTGATTAGGATTCTTTTAATTTTCTCACGGATGTACCCGTTTGTTCTTGTGCCAACGTTATTTCCCACACACCTTTCTTTTTAGAGATGTTTAGTTCCTAAGCTGCATTGAGCTTGTGATGGCAAGTTCACTCTTTCAAAGACCAAGCATGTTTTTAACTTCTGAAATGTCCTGCTATTTATACGTGCCATTTGACTGCAGTTTTATGTGTTTGCAATAAAATGCATTTTGAGGGATTAGCAGACTTATGAACTTAGCAGCTACAACTTTAAAATAGGCATTCCAGAGTGAAGCTTTCCACAAAATGTGCAATTAAAAAAAAAAAATGGAAAAATGTCAGCCACACCCAAAGCTAAACAAATCTCAAGTTACTGTTTTAAAATAAAAGTTCCCAAATGGGAAGGGTAGGCATCTGAATGTGGGAAATTATAATTATGAGCTCTTGAAGGGAGTAAGCAAAAACTGAAGTCTCTTTTAGGCAGTTCAACAAACAGGAGGTTCTGAACTGGAAACTATTGACTTCTTAAATGAAAACTATTTTATGGACAGAAATGGCAACTTATGCTTTAGAATTCTAAGAGAGAATTTGTCAGAACAAAATGGAAAGCATTAAATTGTTTGGGGGTTGTTTTGGGGTTTCTGTCTCTTTCTTTAGTTCCCAGCAGGATGCAGTATTTGAACTGGTTTCCATGGGATTTAATGTAGCTCTGTGGTACACAAAATATGCATCAAGGCTTGCTGGAAAAGAAGAGTAAGTGTTTTTCTTTTCTTAGTAATTCTATTGCAACAGTATTCCACGAAAAATTTAGTAGCTTCTGAGTTTTGACCGCTGTAGTGCAAGTCCAATGGACGCAGCTATGAGTTCGGGGAGGCAGTTGGCCTTCATTCATGTGCTTTAATGTCCAAGTGCACCTCAGTCCCTCCTTGCATCTACGAACAGGGTACTAATACTAAATGACTGTGATATAGGGAAGGCATCAGCTGTGAATAAACCCTTCATCAGTCCTACTCTATTAGTTCCAAGATTTAAATTCCAAGATTTACATTCTCAGAACCACAGCTCTGCTGTCTTTTAACCCTACAGGTTTCTAAAGCTTTTGGCTTTTAACACTGAGGCTCCCTTTCAGTTGAAAGTCATTACAAGGTGTTACTTTTTTTCCCGAAATTAGTTTTACTTGATTATTTAGTGATACGGCACTGTAAGAAACTTCTTTACCAGAGGGACGCACTGCACAGGTTGCTTAGAGGGATTGTGAGCTGTCCATTCTTGAAGGACACCAAGATTCAGCTAGACAAAGCCATAGCTGACCAGGCCTACTGTTGGCAATAGTCCTGCTGCAAGCAGCAGGTGGGACTAAATGACTTTGAGAGGTCCTTTCCAACCAACGTTTCTATGATTCAGTGTGTGTTCTGCCCTTTCTTAGTATAACAGAAGATGAAGCAAAAGATGTTCACAGAAGCCTGAAGATAGCAGCTGGGATTTTTAAACATTTGAAGGTAGAAAAATGTTCTTTGCTGTCTGTTCCTTAAGTTGTCTCTAATTAGAGTGCTTGGCTGCTTGTCTTAGAAGGGCTTTGCTTTTCTGATGAAGTTAGAGAATATTTGAACAAATACCTCAGACTCCCTGCAGAGTTTTTCCGTTTTCATATAGAAAAGAGTATTAGTTTGTTGTGCTACCGCTCAGTTCCTGCTGCTCTTTCCCCATGGCAGTGGAGTAGCAATCAAGTCTGGACGGTAGCACGTGCTACGGTGTAGCCAGGCATCTTGTGATCATCACTCAGTGTTGCATCCGTTTAGGAACAGCATCAAATAGCCCCCATTTAGGGACTTGCTTTGAATTACTGATAGTGATACTAAGCTTAACTAATTTTGAGACTTGCTTTGTACTTAGGAAAGTCATATTCCAAAATTGATTACACCTGTGGAAAAGGGAAGAGATTTAGAAGCTCGACTTATAGACTCTTACATCGTACAGTGCCAAGCTGAAGCTCAAGAAGGTATTTTTAAATATGCACGTTGGTTTGGGGGTGGGAAGTGGCGGTCTTTGTGGGCTTCTTTGATGTCTCATGACGTCTTCTTGATAGCAATGACAGTTTTTTCTCCAAGTACTGTGGTTCGGTGGGGAGGGTTGTTTCTAAAGAAACTTAAGTTCTAGTTATAGCAGGAAAACACCAAAGATCAGTCTGATAGTACAAATATGACCAGTTTTGAAGAACTTGTGTGTAACAATCGTCCCCCCTCCTTTTTTCCTTTCATGCAGTCTCTCCAACGCCATTCTTGCCTTACATAAATTCCAGTTTGTTTATTTAAAGATATTTGGTGCTTCTGTTTACTCATTGGTCTTCTGACTAATCTTTCAATTGTTCTCTTAATTGGGAATCGTCCTCTTCAAGTAACGGTCTGTCTTCATTCTGTCGTCTGTTTGACTTGTGAGAACATAATACTTTTCTGCTTATGCAGGGGTGTTAAAATGCTAAATGCCTTTGCTAAGTTTGAGACATTTTCGATTAAACTTTAATACTGTGATCTGGGATTTTCTTTCAGTGACAATTGCCCGGGCTATTGAGTTGAAACATAATCCAGGTTTAATAGCTGCTCTTGCTTATGAAACAGCTAACTTCTACCAAAAAGCTGGTAAGTGTCTTGTTTTGTATCCTTAGCGACCCGATTTATGCATTCTTGCCAGCAGACATAGTTCACCCGCCCATCGATTGCAGGATTAATGCTGTTTCTCAGTGGATATGCTTTGCATGTTTATTTTCTATTTAGTATATTCAAGGCTTCAGTTACCAGCATGCCAGATATATTTTCATAAGGCCTTCGTTTTTTGAGGGCATCTTTTTCTGTACCTACTAGTAGGACATGCTAATGAGAGGAGCTGGAAGACAGAGTAATGTCTTGAGATACCTTGCCAGCAAACAAATGGCTGATGTAGACGGAGCATGTTCAGCTGTCTTTGGCATGCAGAGTATGATGCAGACTGTAGAGAGTGCAGCAGGTTAATTGTGTACATCTTTCCAAAAGAGCAAGCTGATCTGTGGGCTTACTGAGGCAAGTTGGAAAAGGGCAAAAATACAGGAGTCAGTATGGGAGATGGAATATTGTAACTTACATAAACTTTTGTAGGTCAGTACCTGAAATTAAACTGGGAACAAACTTTGAAATGCTACCTAAAAGTATTTAGGAAAATTAGTCTTCTAGACCTAGCGGACAGCAGATCCAGGGGTCTAGGAACAACTGCATGGTAGCTCAGTGAACTGCATACCTGTGTTTTTCTCACGGTTTCTTTATGCCTTTGCAGGAATGATTTTTATCAATTGTTTCTAACCGCTTTGTAGTTAAGATCCATTGCTGAGTTTAAGAATTCTGCTCTGTGAGCGTGTATGGGATTTTTATGTTTCCAGTTGTCTTAAAGAGTAATGTTGCTTACCTATTCATAGATCAAACATTATCCAGTTTGGATCCAACCTATGTAGGTAAATGGAGGAAGTACTTAAACTTGAAGACCTGTTTCTATATGGCGTATGTAAGTACTAGCTTGACACTGATCATAGTTTTTAACGTTGTCTGGACAGAGAATGTGGACTGAGCGTTGCTTTGACCTTGTTATCATGCTGTGAAGAGATACTCTGCAGTGTCAATGACATTTGAAGTGTTCTTATTGAGCCAGGTGAAGTGCCTGCTGTATAGAATTTATTGCCATTACTTTCCTCTAAGTGAACCAGGTCAGGTAGACCATGATGCTTATCTTCCATTATCTGTGTCGCAATCTGATTCTAGGCATAATTCAGAGATGATCATCTTTTCTAAAGCCCCGAATGAAACTGCATCAAATAACGTTTGTTGCCGTTTCAGGTCCTGTCCCTTTTGCGTGATGGATCTCTTAGCAAGTGCAGTGGCACTCTAGGGATCATCAGCTACTCAGCTTGCTATTTGCTTCTTGTAGCCTGTCAGAACCTATGAGCTGGCTCTTTTGAACTGTAAAAAAGCCTGGAACTAAACGGTTGAAGTTGTCCTTCTCTTGCTTTAAAACTGTGTCTAAAAGCTGCATGTTTGCAAGCATGGTATGTGGGGTTTTTGTGTGTGTATGTTTTTTAAGAGTACCTAATTTGTATAAAATGGGCCATGGCAGGTTAAGGTTACACTTTCACGTCTCTTCTCATGGGATAGCCAGGAAGGTATGCGTTGTTCATGGGAATGTTCCTATACTTACAGAATTTAGTACTTAAGTACTTTAAACTCAGCATCTCCTGATAATAGAAAAGGCTGTTCAGTTCTCACTAGAACACAGTACTCTGTGTCTTTAAGCGTGAGTTTGCAGGAATGGGACTTTTTTGGGTGGAAAAGTTATTTGGACTGTGGCAAAGTATCTCAAACAGGCGGCAGATACCTTCATCTCTTCTGGATTCTTTGATGTTGGTTGCAGATGCAGTTACTGAGGGTTCAGGTAGTTTAGTTTTTAGTCTTCACTTTTGTAAACTTGACTGGGGTTCATCATCTTTCTGCTGGTGGGATTTAATGCTACACACTGAGGTGGAGAGGATGAGGCTGTCTACTACTGCTTTTAGTTAAAAGCCTTCGAAGATGAAGCTCCAAGTTACTGGTGACTAAACTACATCCATACTTGAGAGTTAGGCTTTAAGCCTAACTTAGGTGTACATACGCTGAGCTGCATTGTTCAGCGTAAATATACTGGGTCATTGGTGAGTGCTGCTTTGACTCGCATTTGCAAATTGTCAGCTTTCTGATGATGGCAGCTTCAAAGAGATGCAACTGATGTAAGAAAGGAAGAGCAGAAGTTAATTGATGCAGGAGGTACCCAAGTGATGCTGATAATGATGTTGTCCTCTCTCATTAGGCGTACTGTTACCATGGTCAAACTTTGCTGGCCAGTGATAAATGTGGGGAGGCGATCAGATCTCTGCAGGAATCAGAAAAATGTAAGTGTTATTAAGAATGGATGGCAGGGTGTGAGGATGACATGCATGTTTTATTTTGCTTTGTTGTGTGTTTATTTGGTCTCCTGGTGAAAATCTAGCACGATTTGAACAGAGGCAGTGTATTCTGTTTTAGGTATGTCTTACTGAAGACTGTCTCTCATAAAGAGGCTGCAGAAAATTTCAACTATGTTTCTCAGCCTATGAAGAATGGCTTTGAGCTGTCTATAATAAAAAACAGTTGTCTGGTCACTGTATTTTCTGATCTGTGTCTTAAATTACAGCAACCTCCAAATCACAAAGTTGCACAAAGTGTGCATTAAATAATGAAAATATACTATGATTCCTCTCAAAGCAGCTTTTTTTTTTTTTTAAACAAGTTCTGATAATTTCTATCCTTTCCATTCCTTTGGAAGCTAGATTAGGGGAGCTAACTAGAGTTATTACAGTAATTCAGAGTCTTTCCCCTCACCATCCTTCTCTCTTCAAAGGTATTGCTCATATGCAAAGATATTGCCGTACCGTCTTGCCTAAAGACGGGTGACTTTTGTCGTATCCCAGTGGCCTGTACTGCATTACTTTACCACAACACATGAAAACATAAAAGCACACAAGTCATCCAATTTGAGAGTTTTAATATCAATTTCAAAAGTAGATAAAGGAAAAATTGAATGACAGCATAAACTAAATAGGATTACTTTCCATAAAACAAACCTTGTGTTTTTTACTGTGCCTTCTGTTCAGATAAAAGTGCTTCTTTCCGCGCCCCTTATTGAACTACTGTTTATTTTTGGACATCAGCACTGCGTAGGCACCTTCATACCCACTCTTGTTTCCCACCATGTTCCAGAGTTTTTTAGGCTTACTCTTACATTTTGCCCCACAAGTAAGCATGCTTCCCTTCTCCCTACTCAAAAAGCTTTGGTTTTTTTTCTTTTTTCTTTTTTTTTTTTTTCCTGTTCATAGTCACTTCTTGGATGCAGTAAATCTTGGCTGGAGGTGCTACCCTTGAGCTTGCTTATTTTATTTTCAAAAAATAAGAAGCCTGCATGCAATCTGGTATCTCTTAAAACTAAAGCAACAGTAAATCAGAACTGCCATTTAATAGATTCGTGTAACTGATTTTTATTACGTTGCTTTCTTGTGAAGTTTTTGCCAAGGCTGAAGCATTGTGCAAAGAATATGGAGAAACCAAAGGTCCTGGGACTACAGCCAAACCTTCTGGACATCTCTTCTTTAGGAAATTAGGAAGTTTGATTAAGAACACCCTAGAAAAATGCCAGAGAGAGAACGGATTCATGTAAGTAATTCCTGGTTGATATTGTACTCTGTATGAATTGTTAATACCTCATTTGCTTTTGCTTCAGGATGGGATGGTAAGTTTTACTGTCCAGTTCTGACACACCTTTAAGGCATAAGATGTAATTCACAGAATTGCAAATTAATCTTTGACTTCCTGTTAGCGAACTTGCTGTGGATTTGATGCTATCCCCCTGTCCCTGCTCTATGCCAGTTCAACTGCGTAGATTGGACTGACATGCTGGAGAGGTTAAGCTGTTTTCTTCTTCGTTCCTCTGCCTCTCTCCTGTGCAGGAGTTCTGCAGAGATTCCTTTATTGCTCTAATGCCCTCTTTCCTGCTGCTGCGATCTAGTAGGCAAAGAGGACAAAGGGGAGATGGAGAAGACTAGTAGCTTTTTCTGCCTTGCTAGCAGGGAAGTCAAAGCACAGTCGTGCCTTCAGTGAAGAATATGCTTGGAGTGCTAGGAGCTCTACCGGTGTAAGTGTAACTAATAGTGTGAATAGGGTATTCCGTTAGTTAATGCCCCTTCCAAAAAGAGTTTGGAAGCAGTTTAGAATAGCAGTATTAATTCAGCTTTAGAATTCTCTTGCTGGTTTCCTTCTCCCTTCTTCTCTTCTTATGATTTAGTATTCCATGATATATTTTATTTCCCCCTTTACAGGATTTAAAGACCTCTATAGTAGGGGAATTGACCTAACACAAAGGATTGTTGGGTATATCAAGATAAACTGAAAAAAGGAAGAAAATGCTCTACTCTGCTTTGGTTTCAATAACCCTTGTCGTAGCTTATAACAACGGTATGCTGGAGATTTCAACATATCCATGTCTCTGTAGAACCAAACTGTGAAGGAGACGCCAGGGAACCCTCGCATGTTTTAGGAGATATGCCTGCCATAAAGCTCTGCTGGAGCACAGGAAGTAGGGTAGTGTGCACCAGTAATTGTCAGTTTTCAATTACTGAGTTTGCCAAGGGTAGATTTATATCCTCATTCAGGCTGTGTATCGTAGGAAGTCTTTGTGGATGTTGCAGTGTTGGTACTATTATGCCCTGTAAAACACCAAGGCTCATTTTGCAGTAGCAGAGGAAAAGAGCTGTCAGCCTCTTCACCTTTCTTGGGAGGTATTTTAAATCTTCATCTGGATTTTTAGGATTGGGGGGGGGAGGGGGGGGCGAAAATTGCTCTTTTTATTGAAGCATTGGAAAGAGTGGTTATGGGATAGGAAAGAGCCCAGCTAGCTATTGGGGGAGGAACAAAGCCAGGGAGGAATTGCTTTTGTTGTTGTGAAGCTTGCTGATAGAATGCATGTCAGATGATGCCTTAATGAAATGAAATGGAGAGCAGCACTGGTAGCCGCTGTGAAAGGCCAGGCTGTTTTCCTTTGGAATTACAAAGGAGACTTGCAGAGATAGTGTTGTGTTTTAAACATATTATTATATTCTATCACAGTTATTTTCAAAAGGTGCCAGCAGAGGCTCCGCAGCTGGAACTAAAGGCAAACTATGGCTTAGTAGAGCCTGTTCCTTTTGAATTTCCTGCCCTGAATGCGCACTGGACTCCTGAAACACTTGCTGCGTTTGATCTCACCAAGAGGCCAAAGGATGACACTGTAAGATTATCTTATTTTCAGTTCTTTCCTATCATCTTTGTTGTACGTATAATACAGAGTTGCCGTTTTGTTCTTCTGACATGCTTCCTCAGCTTAGTGTAGGGCATAAGCATCAGGCTACCACCTGAGTTCAGATTTCCAATGTGCAAAGAGGCAAGTCAGTTCATGTTTGTCACGTTGTCAGCATATGGAAGTTACGGGGTCACAAAGTACTGCATAAGAGGAAATTCAGTAATGTGTGTGAGATGCTGAGATGCTACAGGAGTGAATGCTATAGAAAGAAAGAATGCTATAGAAGAAAGATTTATTTTTGAAAAAGGATCCATTTAAGGACACTGAAATAGAGAAGACTTGGTGCTTTTTCTCCTTTTTATTCAAAGCCTTCAGCTTTGGGAAGAGGGGAGACTATTACATTAGCATATGTAAAGTTAGCAGTACATGAATACTTGGCAGACCTAGTGGTTTTTACTTGCGGTATTTTAAATCTTTTTTTGTTTGCAGGCTAAACCGAAACCAGATGAAGATGTAAAACCTCTGAAGGAACCAGATATAAAGCCTCAGAAAGACAGTGGATGCCAGATTTCTTAAGTGCCATAAGTGCTTTGAATTCCCTTTAAAACTATATTAATTGGACTTTGGGGCTCTTAGTTCTAAACTCCTGATTCTTCTTTTTCATTTAGAATACTAATTTAATTAGTTTTTATTAGTATGAGTCTATCTTGCTTGAGAATGTGGTGGATTTCTAGAAGAAATGTATTTATATCTGGCTTGTTTTGGGTCTTAGCGGGATATCCTAGAATGAACGGGCTTAAATGTTCCTATTGTGCCTCTAGAGAGTTTCTTTTTATGGGTTTAGTTTCTACCCACAAATAGCAAAGGAAGAATCATGACTGTAACACTTGAGGATTTTCCATTAAATTATATGCCATATAATGTCAAATTCTACAAAAAGATATTAGCCTGAACAGTTATACTTATTTAGGTTTGTCACAAAGGCTTAACTCCCTGTCTTGTTCTGATTCACTTAACTGTAACGAGTGAAGAAAAGCTGGGTTTGGTATGTAGCACTCGTATAGTGTTTCACAGACTTTCACACAATTTGGAAAGCTTGAAGTTCTGTATAATTGGAGCACAGTGTATATTCTTCTGAAACTATTGGACTCTGTCCTTTCCTTCATAGATTCAGGTTCCTGTATCAGAGTTTACGGTAAGGTACTTTAGCTTGTCTGTCCTTAAATTAAAATCCTTTAATGTCAGATTGTATATGAAAATGATGCAGCAAGTAATGAGAAAGCTCCTAAAGGTAACGCATTGGTGTAATTCATTCGTAGTTTTTGGATCTAGAAAGATTTTAAAAGGTTGAGAGCTGCAGATGGTTAAAATCCCCTGGCACTAGAAGAGCTCAATTTGGATGCATAAAGTTGTCCTGCAGAAGATAACGAGGTTGTAATTAAGACGCTCTGTTTCCAACTGGATAGTGTGTGTAAGAAACCATCAAGAGAAGAGGTAGGAAAGATTAGCTGAAGAGCTAATGACACAGTTGGGACATCAAGCTCTAGATTTCCTTTACAACATATATAAACAGTGCTATTTCCCAGCTTTCTCAGTATTACACTGAAATCAGCCCCATATGAAGAGAATTTACCAAAGGCCAAGCCCAGCGAAGACTGAGGAGGAAAGTATTTTGTAGAACTCGTTTCTTCCATATCTTCCTACTGTGGAAAACGTGATAGTATTCCTTAGTACTGAGCGCTCCAAAACATCCATGTCAACAAAATCATTCTTTTAGTTTTCTGATTTGTTGCAAATGTGTGGCGTGTGTTGTAGTGAGAGCCTTGCAGTCTCCAGGTCCCGGTTGCTGCACTTCTTTCTACCTGCGAAAGAAACTGAACAGCCTGAAAATGTTCCCATTTAAACAAAACACGATGATGTACGCACTTAGCATGATGGATACTGTGAACAAATTCCTGGCATTGCACTGTTTGATTTGGCTCACCTTTCACGGTAGTCTAATTTGGTGGTTCAGTGTTTGAAATCTTTTGTGGGACTGGACCAGCTTACCAGCTGTGTAGCTCCTTGAAGGCATGTGGAACAAAAACTGTTGAGGAGGTTAATACGAACACAAGACTCTTCCTTGGATACTGGACCAAAATACAGAATTCATTGCTCCAGAAGACTAAGAGGATCTTAATGCCGATTGCCATGGGTGAATCACCTGCAAAGCTTGCTCCGTCCAGTGTTGAATCTTTCTTTCAACCAGTTCTGCACATTAAAAATAAGCATAAAATCCAGAGGATCACTTTGGAAGAACAAGTTTCTGTTTTGGAGGGGCTTATGTGGGTAGAGGATGACAAGTATCTAGTGAGATTTTATCCAAAATATGTGTATTCCTTCCAACTGCACAGCATACAGAAAGAGATGACTGTATTTGATGAAGAATTACTCAGAGCTCTTGATGAGTTGATCAGTTGACTTTTTAGACTTCCTGCATAGTTAAAAGACCTAGCTTAGGATTTACCGGAATGGAGCGTGGAGCTACTCTGCCAATACCAATTTTAATTCTCTTTAAAAACTTATTACAGCTATAGGCATCTGCATTCGCTTAGCCTGACCCCTTTAAGGATCAAGATTCAATTAACCGAGTTTCATAATCATGAATTGTCAGTTGCTCATTGTTTTTCAGAAGTCTATGTCTGTTGATGCTGATATGTCTCAGTCTATTTAATGGTTCTTTCTAAACGCACTATATTCCATTTTCCTTCTTCCCCCTCACTTTCCCTCCTGTCCGCTACACACTGGCACAGACTCACCTTTGTTCGCTAATACATGTGTGCGCTGGACTCATTTCCAGTGAGGCTTTTGACCAGGGGTGTGTTTCAGTGTATGAATATCTTAAAATAAAAAGAGCAAATCTTGACTAAATCACTCCCAAAAAAATCTTAGAAAATATTATTTTATAGAATTGCAATTTTTAATTCTTTGGTGCTTTCTCAAACTAAGTGGTTTGTTTGAACCAAATTCCCTGTAAATAGTTTTCGGTATAAGCAACTGGATCGTGTCAGATTATGGCATTACTTAAGGCTAGCTGTGAAACTTTTTTACGCCATAGCTATGTCAGTAAATATGGTGTAGTAGTTTTAAAATAGCCTAATGGAACAAACTAATTTACTTAACACATGTTGCTTTTCAAGACAAACTTTGTTTACTTGTAGTTTAAAATCCTATGGCAAACACTGAACAGTTTTGCCCAAGAATAAGGAAATTGAGATTGATTGCTTTGCCAAGCATATGTGTAGAACGCTGTCAGTCAGCAGGCAGTTTTTCTCTTCAGTTTTGTTGGGAAGTGGGGAGAATTATTGTACATAATAGTTAGATTAACTGTCTAATATCCTGAGGAATATTGGTGACTTGACTGGGAGTTTCAGGTAATCTGGAAACCTAGCAGCCACATTCCTTCTGTTATGGTTTCATATGATAGTTTTTTTTAATGATGTATTTTGAATGGTGACTTTTTTGATATTCTCATGCTGCAAGAGCCCATTCTTGTGGCCTCTCTCTGGGTTTCGAGGCTCTAATGGCTAAACCTGCAAATGTCGTTCACACAATAGTAATGTCTTAAAAACCTGTGCTCAGTCTAAACTAGGACAAAACTACTGCTGAATAAAATGCTGAGCACTGGGCCCTTTATTTTTGTGCTTTTAAAAATGCACTGATCGTCTTAGTAGATTAAAAAGCAAATCGGTAAGCTCTCTAGGAATTATACTTTGAGACCTTTATACTTCCTCAATGTTTCATGTTGCTGGGTTTACAGTAGTTTATCACCATCTGGCATGTGACACTCCTAGAACGAAGAGACTAAATTTAGCCCTTGGATGCTAATGCCTGCCTCCCACTGGCTTCAGTAGGGGAGTTTTGCCTGTCAGCATAAGGAAAACATTTGGTCACTTGAATGTTCAGCATGGATATGTGATGTGTCTGTGATGATGGTATTGGTGCATAGTATAAGCAAGAAACCATACCTGTATCTGTGTAGAATATAGCAAACTTTGCACTTTAGAAATTTATAATCTTGCAATTTCAGTACAATACAATGTGTTTGTAAATATTCCTTCCTGTCTTTTTAATTTTGTTGCCCTGATTTCACTACGGTGGTATTGGTAAGATTTTTATGGGAAACGTTACCAAAATGTATTTTTAATTGTCTATGTATAAAGTAAACTCATGAAGCCTATCTCTATCTTCAGTACAGAGGGAGCATGAGAGGAGGCAGTAATTCATCTGTTTTCCGTGTCAATTTGGAGAAGTTAAGTTTATCTCTACTGGCTGGGGGAATCATATGTAATGTTTCATCTCATCCCTATGCCTAGCATCTAAAACTGACGCTTTAGTATTAACGTAAATCCTGTGTATGCGTATTACTCATCCCTAAAAATCTCTCTAAAGATCATTATTGCTAAATTAACAAAGCAGTGTGAGCTACACTTTTTTTTTTTTTTTATTTTTTATTAACGACTGGCCTGATTAAGGGAGGAGTAAAACCCCTTGAAAATGACTGTCTGGCATGGAAGACCCCTGTAGTGGGTATCTGTCTCCAGATCTTGAGCGTGCAGCATCGCAGCCCTGCCGCAACAGATCAGCTCAGATTCGCTCCGATCTTGCCCCGCTGGAGATGCTTTCAAATTCCAACAGATATCACTTGGCAACTGAGGGGGCTCTTGATCAGCTTTCCGTGAAGTAAGGCCCACCTTGTTTTGTGATGGTGCCTTCATGGGTTACAGACTAGTATTTGAAGCAAGCGTGTGCTCCAATTAATTGAACTTGAATGGAATAAACTATGGTGAGATTGACCAAGCAGCCTTATTGTATGAAGATGGTCACCATGCAGTCTTAAGTTTGATAGACTGAAAATTTGTATATAACCACCAGTTTCAGAATACTATTTAAAATAAAAATAAGCAATCATTATGTTATCTTTCGTTGCATTATTTAAAATTGTTAGTAAGAAGAAATAGGGTCTATCTTGAATGTGGCTTTCTCCAATTTAATACAAATACAGAAATGGAAAGAGAATACTTTATTCTTGGAGTATGTCTAAAGGCGAGTTTCACTAAGCAAGTCACAGTGGTGACGGTTACGCGGTTCACACGGTTATGTGAATTGGGTGCATGAGGAAGCACGTCTAAAGTTACGTGGCAGGAAGAGAGAAGATGGGATTTCCAAACTTCTTTTCTTTTGTCTTTTTTTAAACGGTAGGCTTGTTGCCGATGCAAAATCGGAGCGCTGGCAAGGCCGCTCCAGGTACTGCGCTAAAGGGTCACTTGGCAAATGCGAATTGCTGGACGCTTCTCTAAGCTGCCGGCAGGTGGCAAATAGGTTAGCAGGAAACAGGATTTTTCCTTTTCAGAGGCAGCTTTGGCTCTTTCTCAATTTTTTGTGTAAAAACACACTAATGACTTCTAGCCTCTGAGACTTTAGTTTAGCTCCTATATGAAAATTCGCTTAAGGAGGCCGGATACTACAAATTACTTCCGAGTATGGCATACTTGGAAACCTGCAACTGCCTCTTTAACGCTTGCCTGAACGGTATCAGTTTACATAGGCTTGTGCCTTTGTGCTTCATGCTTTTTTTTTTTTTTCTCCCCCCGCCTGCCCCACTCCCCATTTTACCTGTTCTTAATCTCGGGCCAAGCCTGCAAATTGTCGGGACCTGCCCACAGTTCAAATACAAGCACTCCTTTCAGATAGTTGCATCCTGTAGCCCTAAGCTTGGGTTTTCTTATCTGCCTCCAGCTCTGCACTGCTGCTAACACGATGCAGGTGTGTGTGGTTTTGGGGTTTTTTTTTGTTTTTTGGTGGGTCAATTCTGTGTGGGAGCACTAAATGTCTTGGTTCTAGTTTGTCTTCTTTATTTGTCCTGGGAAATACTATTCTTCACCATTTTTTTTTTTATGTGATGGAAAAGCCCCAGGAAATTTTACAGATGAGTTTCCTTTTTAATTTGTTGATGCAAGGTATTTTTCACAAATGTATCTATTTGACGCCCTAACTCCATAAAGTGACTTAACGCTAAAATTCTACCATAAAGAGCTTTGATACGTTACTCTTGTATGGCACTGTGGTAGTAATCTCATTGCCTAATTTGCTTATCATTATAATCCTTTGTTTTCTTTTAATTTTCATCCAGTAGCAGTCTCACGTGTGTGTGTGTATACATACATATATATATTCATAAGTATATGCGTGCTGTTTTTCCCTATCTGGCTTACAGCAAGAGAGATGTAAATAAAGACTAAATAGCAGTACACAACTCTAAGTGCACCTTTGGCTAAGAGAACATCAATGATGCTCTGCGTACTCAAGGTTTTTTTTGAGTCATCTGATGTATCTTCTATTTTACAACTTCAGTTAAAAAAGAAAATACTTCTGCAGGCCTTACTGAGTTTTCTGACCAAAGATCAAGTTGTTAGACAACAAAAAAAAAAAGTGAAAATTAATTAAAAAAATAAGCTTAAAGGGAGCACATTCTTTTTGAGAAAGTAATTTCTTTTAGGGTGTCAGTCTTTTACCACCCTTTTGAGAGGTTGCTGATTTAATTACAGTAAATTACTCGTGTAGGCTTATGTTTTGAAATACTGGCCCTTCTCTATAATGCAGGATTTGGTCTTCCTGAGTGTTTTTTTTTTTTAATACATTATTATATTGCAGTTTCTTCTACTAAATGACACTGTTTATTTTGACTTAACTGAAAAAAAGCTACATACTTGTAGGTCAATAGAAGAGTTTATAACTGGTGCAGCTAATAATCATAGCTATTAAAAAGCCGCTCTAAAGTAGCTGTGCACAAGTTGGTTTTTGGCCATTTCTGATGTTAGTCCTGGGTGCTTGTCTCTTTTTCTAGACTGAACTGTTTGGAATGCTTTATAATTCAGGGAGAAGATGGGATAAAAGAAATCCTTACCTTCAGTCATGCTATTCTGAATTTTAACAATCCTTTAAATATCAAGAATAGCCTTGTACCTTCTCTATCTACTGTACTAAAACTGTGCTCCTGATGGGCGTCTTTGAGCAGGAAGAGGATGCTAGCTTCCAGTAGACGGAGAGGGACAAAAAAGAGCTTGAATGAGCAAAATCTCCAAGGAGGATGGTTTATTTTGCAAATGGTAACACCAGGGAAGACTACAGCATGGAAGAGGAAGAAGAGGGGCAGGGGGAGCAGCAGCCTCTTGACACAGTGAGCCCCAGGTATTGGTTTTCTGGAGCTCAGCAGGGATAACAGGAAGAAGGGAATGCAGCATGATGTAACACATTTCTAAAGACTTGAGAAAAAAATTAAAGCATTTAAATAAGCTAAGCGTGGTCACTTGTCTGAAAGATGATGCCCTTGCTAGGAGGAAAGGAAAAAAAAATCTCTAAAAATATTTAAAACTATCCCGTTTGGGCCAGATTTTGGAAGCGGTTCCAACTTTAGTCCCACAAGTGCCTCCAGGTAATAAGTGCCAATGGGATCCTGGGCTGCATTAGGCAGAGTGTTGCCAGCAGGTCGAGGGAGGTGATCCTGCCCCTCTTCTCAGCCCTGGGGAGGCCTCACCTGGAGTACTGTGTCCAGTTCTGGGCTCCCCCCTACAAGAGAGACATGGTGCTACTGGAGAGAGTCCAGCGGAGGGCTACAAAGAGGATGAGGGGACTGGAGCATGTCTCCTCTGAAGAAAGGCTGAGGGAGCTGGGCCTGCTGTTTAGCCTGCAGAAGAGAAGACTGAGAGAGGATCTGATCAATGTCTACAAGTATCTGAAGGGGGGGGTGTCGAGAGGATGAGGCCAGTCTCTTCTCCGTGGTGCCCAGCGACAGGACAAGAGGCAACGGGCATAAACTGAACCACAGGCAGTTCCATCTGAACATGAGAAAAAACTTCTTTCCTGTGAGGGTGACAGAGCACTGGAACAGGTTGCCCAGAGAGGTGGTGGAGTCTCCTTCCCTGGAGATATTCAAAACCCACCTGGACGTGATCCTGGGCAATGTGCTCTAGGTGACCCTGCTTGAGCAGGGGGGTTGGACTAGCTGATCTCCAGAGGTCCCTTCCAACCTCAACTGTTCTGTGATTCTGTGATTTCTCTGAGACTTACGTCTTTCTAAATTCAGATCTCTGTATAGCTGTTACGTATGTTCAATGTAGATAAGAAGTCTGCTGCTCATGGTGAGGTTATTTAAAGCACATGATATATTAGCTGAAACCAGCCAGGGACAACGGCCTGTGAGGAGATTAATTAAACAGGCCACTGGTTTTCTTCTTTGCATAGTGGCAGACTATTTCATATTGCCAGCTGCATGGTACAGGACAATGTTTAGTGCAACTTCATGCATGAGCTTGGCTTTATATTTTTTACATTAAAGCTTTCTTCTTGTTTTTGGTCTAGTCCAGACTCTCCTGGGGGCTGTATCTCTGGTTTTAGGCAGTTTGAATTGCAACCACTTCATTTCTTAATAAGTTCATTGCGAAGTGAGTTAAACTTAGTAAGTTTATGATTGATTAGCTCACTTTAAGAATAGATCAATTGGAATGCAATCATTATTGAAGAAACAAACTTTTTGCTTTTTTTTCTCCCCCTTTTAATATCTCCTGGCATTATCTCAAGGGTTTATCACCAGTGAGTCAAAGAGCAATTTAAAAACAATGGCAAAAGCCTGATTATTGTAAAAGTAGCTGATGACCAGGATTCAGCATGTGAGGTACGCTGTGAATTTTGTTCTACTTTCATAGTCAGAACAATGTGGCAGAAAGCACTTGCAATAATATCAAAATAGGATGATTCTAATTAAGGATTGACCGTTTTGTCTGTCCACTGGCCCAAAAACGGATCAAGTCCTTCCTGACATGCTTGTCAAATTTATTCTAAAAGACTTGTAGCAATGGTACTGCATCACCTCCCTCGGGGATAGATTTTAGTGTTTTGTTACCCTTTCTATCAGAAAGTTTTTCTTTGTGTTTAACCCAGACCTTGCTGGCTGCATTTTAAGTTTATTTCTCATCCTATTAACAAATTACTCTTTTGTCTTTCATTATCTTTTTCTATATTGGACTAGTACCATGCCTCCTTTTAGCTTTTCCATCTGTAGTGTAAACACCACCATCTCTTTGCGTCTTTTTGCCTTAGTCTTACTTCCAAGATAGTTACTCATTCTTACTGCTGTCCTCTGGACTTTCACTGATTTGTCCATGTGCTTTTCAAGTGTCGTGGCCAAAACAGAACGGAAGCCTCCAGCTGGGGCTCACCGAGGCAGAAGAGTGCATGACTGCTACTTAAGCAGCTGTTTCCCATCTTGGCTAAGTGCAGAGCCCTGAAATTATTTCCTTGTATCCTGGGGTTTTTTTTTCAGAATGTTTCTTTTATAGACATTCTTTTGAATTGTATTCCTCTTTTCCATACTGCTCTCAGCTTCTTTGCCAAGATATATTTACAGATACATTATCTATTGCGTCAATCCATTTGCTAATGAAAGTACTAAGTATAGATGTCCAAGGCAGAGCCCTGCTCTGCACATGCCACTGTGCTCGACAGTGAAATATTGTTAACTAATCTCTGTATATTCTTTCACAGAAAAACACATTTTCTAAGAACAATTAGACCCATGGCTGACCCTTGTTATTTGAAGCCATATGAAGCTACTTGCTCTCATTCCATCCTCTTATATTAAATACACTTTTTCCTGCCAGTGATCTTTTTAAATAAACACCACATCTCTATTTATACCATTATGGCAGATACTTAGATTAATTCTTTTATTACCATATGATGTATTAGCTATAAAGAGAAATTATTATATTGCAGTTAAACACCAAAAAGCAACTTAAGATGGCAAAATTAGTTACTCAAAAAGTGTGAATAGCTAGAACTAGGGTTGCCTACAGGATTTGAATTCAATGCCTTGTCCTTATGCATCATGATAGGCTTTAACTACAAGATTATGAACCAC